CAACTACTCGAAGGGCTGCCATAAACGACAAAGAGGGAAAGCCCCTGTTCTCTCTTGCTGCAGAGAGGAGGATGCAGAACAATGGCTGGAACTTGCAGCAAAGCAAACTTAGGTTGGATATCTAGAAAAACTTCTTGCATAGATTCATAGATGTAGGGTCGGAGGGGACCTGAGCAGATCATCAAGTCCGACCCCCTGCCATGGGCAGGAATGAATAGGTAGGCATGCTGGGATGCTGAGGGACTCTGAGTTAACTTAAACCAGGAAGGGGTCTGGGACAGAAGTTTCATAAACTGGTTTGACCTAAATCAGGTCCTAGCTATTCTTCACTGTAGGAATAGCGAGGCAGTGGCATACCCTGCCTAGGGAAGCTGGGAAGCTGGGAGGAGTTCAAGAGGAGGTTGGACAGCCATTAGTTGGGGATGATCTAGGTGTAGTTGTGCCTGTTTTCTACCCTGGGTATTTCCCAGGCTTCTGGGCTTTGCTGGTTGCTTCTGCCCTCATCCTCCTTTTTTCTGCTCCATATGTCAGGGTGTTTTTAAGCCTCCCCAGAGGCATCAGGTGTTGGCTACGGCTAAGGATGGGGACTTCAACTGGGACACGCCGACTCTCCTGCTAGGAGCAAAGCTGGAGGGTCCTGGCTAGAGGGTCTTGCCCCTCCATTCAGGGTCAGACCAATCACCACATTTGGATCGGGAAGGAATTTCATCCCATGATCAGACTGGTACAGGCTGGGGGGTCTTCCCTTCCTCTGTAGCAGGGGGCACGGCTGCTACCGGGGACCTCGTGAGCATATATTGACATTTCACAAAGCAGGACATTGGCTGCCGGGATTCCCCTGCTTTACCTGTGGCCGGGTTGGGTGTTCGGTCCGAGTTGTGTCAGGGTTGAGGGTAGTCTTACGTAGAGGTGGGCTTATGGTTGCATAGGATGGTTTGGATAGGGATGATCCTGCCTCGGGCAGGGGTTGGATTAGCTGACCTCTAGACGGTCCTTCCAGCTCCACTGCTCTGTGACCCGATGGCACTTTGTATAATTTTGTCATCCACGGGTTTGGCCACCTCACTACTCACCCCCTTTTCCAGATCATTTATGAATACGTTAAGCAGCACTGGTCCCAACACAGACCCCTGGCGGACCCGCTAGTTACTTCTTTCATCCTGAAAACTGACCCTTTACACTCCCTCTTTGCTTTCTACCCCAAAGCCAGCTTCTAATCCACAAGCGGATGTCCCCCGCTCTCTTGTGACTACCTTAGTGATGGGGTCCTGCTCCCTGACCATTTCTTTGCTCTGCTCCATCTACCATCTCTCCATCCCCATTTATCTTCTCTGAGGACGTGTCATATGAAGCCACGTGCCTCACAAGAGCCTACAGCTCTGGGCACTTACTTGTGTCACACTTGCAATTGCAAAGGATGGAACCAGGGTTGTTTCACAAGAGCTGCTGGCTGTTAAACCCGTTGAACTGGCACGAATCGCACAGGAAGGCCACGTAGACCACAGCGTGCGTTTCCAGTTCCTCTCGCCTGTTGCTCAGACCTCCAGCCT